GCAGCCGCCTGCAGCAGGGCTGGCTGTTGTGGTGGCGGTTCACAAGGGCCATCTCATGACTGCACGTGGTGGTGGCGTTGCTGCATACCTCCGGGCTGCCTCTCCAGCATTCGGGGTGGGGAGGACACAGACAAATAAACAAACAGCAGAAAACCTTAAGAGAAAATAACTAGGCATCAGAAAGGAAATGAACTCTAACAAGGGATTAAAAATAGCAGCAAAGCGAGGAGTCAAGCTCCACCAAGGCTCCCCGTCCGTTTTCAAGAGGATGCAGGTTGGATGGAGCCTCCAGGGTGGCCTGAAGATTCGCAGTCATCTGACAGCAATGAGGCAAGTGAAGCCAGACTGGCTCCCAGCATGGTGGCTGGGAGCTCACTGGTCCAGCTGATACCAGCATCAGGTTCAGTCATCTTTGGAAGCTGCTTGTCACGCACCGCATATGTGCTCTGGGGTCATTCGGCAACCCCAGTGGCTCTGCAAACAAGGGGGAAGACACACCAGCAGAGAATTTCTCTCCAGCACTCAGGTGTGTTATTTTCCCTTAAATTCACATCAGCTCAGCAACCAGGAACACGAGTCCCCTGGAGACCTGGCCTTCTCCTCTGCCCCAGCGGGAAGGCAGAATTTCAAATAGACTTACCGGTGCTGCCCTCCAGATGCTGTCATGAGATGACCTCAAAGTTAAAGACTGCCTGAGGACTCCTCAAACATTAGCCCTTGCCCAGTACGACAGGACCTGGCAGCCAACTTGCTGTGCACAAGGAGTAAGACAGGTCAATGGGTGAAGGACAGGATTAGCCCAGGAGTTGAAGAAAGGGCTCAAGGTGGTCAAGAACACATCTGGGATAAAAGTGAGAAGATGAGTCAAAGGGCTCCTTATGGCTTTTGCATGAGCAGATGTGGTTTTCCCATGACAAAGCCTGAAGTATCATTGCCACTAAGAGCTTTCTGAAGGTCCTCTCCTTCAAGGAAGCTCCTGAGATCCTTCAGGACCACAGAGGCCCCTTAGTGATTCACACTGACTCTCTGCTGGCTCGTCCTTGGAGGGAGTTGCCTCTGCACTGCGAGACAGAGGAGGTTTTGTGGCTTTTCTGCCTTCTGGCTTAGAAGACCATCCCAAGCCTTTTGATGGCATCAGCTGAGCACCACAGACACTGTGTCACCCACTGGCATTTCCCTGGGGCAGACAGACTGCCCTGACCACATCTCCCAGGCTGAAGGCAGGGGCTCTCCCCGCCATGCTCCAGCGTTTCTCAAACGGGGCAAGTTACCAAGCTGTAAACACCAGGTCTGCCAAAACATCCCGCTCCTCACCCAAGGAACAAGATTTCACTGATGATGCATGAAGGATACCTCTAAGCCCCAAATCTTTTGGGCCCACAGGCACTCTCAGTCCTCAGAGCTGCCTCTCCTGTCTTTAAGCTTCTAATTAAAAAATTTTAATGACCCCTGTCTCCGACCCTGCAGTGGTCTCCATCAGCCTCCTCTCCTTCCTTGGCTACAGACTGCTTTTGCCCTCAGGAAGAATCCAACATTTGCCTCCAAAGCCCAGATATCCCAGTTGGGCTCAGACGATGTATCTGAGATAGTAGCCTTCCTCCTGTGGACCTCACACTGATCCTGTCTTCCTCTTAAAATAAATTCAAATCATTCACTACAAGCATGAATCAAAGCACAAGAGGAGATGAGTGCCACCTCCCCAGTCTGCTGGTTGACTTGGACCCTGTGCACTTGCTGCTGCTGGATGTCGGATCCACACTGTGAGAGCAGGAAACTCAGAGCTGCCCCCGAAATCTCCCTCTTTGCCTGTTACTTCCATTTCAGCTCTTCTTCTCAGCCTTACCCTCTCCAATACCTCCTAGCCCTCTTCTGCAACACCTTACCGCACCAAATCGATCACTCTCTGTTCCTCATTTGCACCCCAAAAGGACATATTCTTCCCATGGTTCAAGGTGGTAAAGCAGGGATGCCCCCTCCAACAGCAAAGCTGCACCTATCCCCACCACATCCCACCATGGCTGGTGGCTCTGAGCCACTCTCTCAGCCTGCATTTATCCCGAGCCAGGCTGGCCCTGCAGCAAACCAACACAAGCCCTGGGCTAATGCTCTGGGTAGAGCTAAGGGAACAGGGTGACAAGGTGGCCACCATCAGATGCTCCTCACTCTGTCAGAGACCCAGCTGGTGAGTCCAAGCTCTCCAGCTGCAGGTCCTGGCTGTCCCCAGCAGCCATCCCACCAGGAAAGACCAAGCAGCCTCCAGTCACGTTTGCTGGTGCGATGACAACCTTGTAGCTTTGCCCCGTGCTGGACAGTCACGCTTCTGACATTGTCCCCAAGAAGGAACACACTCGGAGAGGGGACACGGCAGCACTGAAACCCACCCTGGTCTCCTCACTCCAGCTGCCGCTTCAGACGGTGAGCATGGAGGTGCCAGACACGTGAGACGCTCCGGCTGTGAGCACGCTGCCCCTTGCCGCCAGCTACGAGAGCAGAAACGTGATCCACTGGAGCAGGCGGAGGTCAAGCGGGGAGCAGAGCGGCCGGCACGCCGAGGCTCCCTGCGCGGGTCGAACCCTTCAAGAACGCGCCAGAGCCTTGGCTGCGCTCCGAGACTCCGCCGTTACTGGATAGTTTGCATTTCCTTCTAGGAAGGCAGTCAGGAAGACAGGCCTGCGGTGCACAGCCCGCAGCTACAGACTCCTGCAAGGAACAAAGTGCTGACGCCCCGAGACAAGCGTGCCAGATGATGGCCTGTAATTTTCTTCGCTGCTCAGGCTCTGCAGGAGGAGAAGGAGCGGCCCTGAAAGCCGTATTTTACAAAACCAGACAATCCCTTTGCACTAGGGGCATTCCCCAGAGAGCCTGGGGTGCTCCTGGGGTGCGGAATCAGCTTCTCCATCCCACGTGCTCATCATCAGTGTGGAAGGAGCAGCCCTTTGGGTGACCAGAGGAAGGTGGGGAAAACCTGATGCTGATCTGAAGCTCTCCTTGGAAGAAATGGGAGAAAAGAAAAGATTTCTGGAGAAGCTGTTCTTGCTCCGAAGTGTAACGACCTTGGGCGTTCAGCGCACACACGGGGTTACTTTTTGGGCTGCGGAGGCTGGCCTGTCAAAAGCGAGCAGGCCTCAACCCAGAGGTGAACGAAGGTGTGACCCCACGGGTCTGAGCTAGACATGGCCAAGCAATGCACATGTAAGCCCATAAAGCTCTATGTAAAGCACACCTTGAAGAACTTCAAATCCCAGGATCCGGGACCTGCTAAGAATGCATGAACCACAGCCAGGAAGGGCAAGATGGGGGGAAAATTTGAATCCTCATCAACCAGAGATCCTGGGGAGCGTCCAGATTGCAGCTCTTCCTCATCCCAGGCTCCTTGCTCAAGCAGCTCTGCGATGGTTGCACTGTGGCTTCACTGGCAGGACGTGGAGGGCAAAGCTTGCAACACTGTCCAGGATCAAGAGCTGAAGCCCTGGACAACATCACTCTGAACTTGAATGTGACAGGTTTTGAGCCTTCCTTTTCACAGGGTGCGACACCTATGAGTTTCAGATCATCTCATCATCCTAAGGCTGATCTACACCCTCCTCCTGGATGAGACCAGGCTGTACTCCTGCTTGCAGAGGCGTTTACTGGCTTGTGACTCTGGCTAGGGCAGCCACACGTGTGCCAGATATGGGCTACCTTCTGCTAGGTAAGTCAACGGGGCTCTATTAGCTCAAAATCGCACGCTGGAGTGTGTGAATTTGCACAAGTCTGAAGGGACAGAGAATTTTTGCTTTGTTTTTTTAAAACCACTTGTAAAAACAAGAGGCAGATACTGAACTGGAGCCAACATCTGTATCTTTGTAAGACTCTCAATCACCAGCCTTTTGCTGACTCTAGAGCAATAAATATTCAGAGCCTTAAAGGCTTTTCTTCAATCTGCTTAGGAGAAAGCAGCCTTCAAACAATGGCCAAGAAGGGATCTTTCCCAACCTCAGCTTCAGTGGATCAGCTCAGTGAGAGAGCGGACCTCACCAGATTCTTGCAGCGCCACAGGCTCCTCATTCTTTTTTAATGCCAAAAAAATGAGGAAACCCACTCAATCAGTAATTTAGAGCACAACCACACATGCAGCAGATATGGCCCAGTGGAGGAGACAAAAGCCTCCCCCAAGGTAAGAGCAGGAACGACCAGCTAGACGGAGGGGAGGGGAAGATATCTGAGATCAGAGCTGCCATCACCCCTATGGTGGAGGTAGACCCCTGGCCTCACCTCTACATGTGGATTCAACCAGTTCAGATCCTATTTTAGGCTTCATATGGGGTTTTTCATCTTCAGAGCACTTAACAGGCATGTGTTAATCCCCACAACGCCCTTCCGTGGCAGATAAGTGTTTATTATCTCCGCTCTACAGCTGGTGGGACAGGCACGGTGGGGAGCGGCTCATTGTTGCAGACCCTAGGCAACCTCAGCTTCTAGGCTCCTCAGAAAGACACAGCAGGAGCACTCAGCTTGGACTGATGAAGGAAGCCTCAGGGCAACTCCCTGGGGGAATCTGGGCCACTTCCTGGGCCAGTGGGCTGCTGCAGCCAGGCTGGGATGGGCACCATTCCCCAGTCAGTGCTTTCCTAGAGAGGAAGTTGAAAGCATCTTCCAAACACAAAGTCCCAGGACACATCTCCGCTGCCTTTGTGCTGTAGGTCAGGAAAGCGGCACTCAAATTTATTATGGGCAAATTAACACCCATGGAGATTAAAGCTTTATCTCCTGCCGGCTCGGCCACATCTGACTTAGTAATGTGCAGTACTGGGCTGACACTATGTCCCTGCGTGCTGGAGAAGCTGCGTCCTCACTGCACCTCCCACTTCCCAGGGTCCCAGTACCACGTCCTTCTGTGTTGGGGACTAAACGTGCTCACTTCCTCCACCCTTAGCTTCTCCATCCTACTCTGAGCTGCGCCTTGGGCACCGCCAGCCTGTCTGCTCTGCCTTTTTTTGCCTGTTGAAGTCAGTATTTGACAGATAAACACATAAAGAAGAACAGAGGGCAGAGCAGGGACACGTGGCCACCATCGATGTGGTCCCAACACCCAAGCATTAACGTCAGTTTGACACTACCATCTCTCTCTGTGCAGCAACATGGCAAAACGAAGGTCACCACTGTCAGCGTGAAACCATCAGCCCACCCCCAAATGGAGAGTGAATCAGTGCCGAGGCACCCAGGGAGGAATTACCATGCACTTGGTTGATCTCCGAGTTGGATGACAGGATCTCATCAGCCAACTTCTGGGCAGTGGGCAGCACCTCGGTGTGGTGCGCTGTGATCAAATACTGAACAAACTTCTGGAGCTGGTCCCTGTTCATCTGGAAAAGGGTCTCTGAGATGGGAAGACGGAGTTTGACCTGGTCGGGCTTACGGATCCTGTACAGCGAAAGTGCCACGACATGGGCACAGTAAAAAATGTCCTTGTTCCCACAGCCACATGTCACTGAGGTGATTTTGCAGCGGTCGAAGCTGATGGCCACCTTGTAGGTCATCTCTGGTTCCGTTGCAGTCGCAGGCTCCGTTACCGTCCCGCTGAGGTGGAACCCTGGAGAGGAAAGGAGAAGAGGAAAAGGCCACGTTAGCTTCCCTCTGACCAGGACCATCCGCGCAAACTCTGGAAGGAGGACAAGGCTGCTCATGCATCGCTGTGCCAAGGAGTGGACGACCCAATGCACGCCATCCTGGTGGCTTACGCTCAGCAACACCAGCCCACGTACAAACACACTCTTACATCAACGCACGCGTGCAGCCAGATTCTTTGGCGGGTTTATTTAACAGCCAAACCCTCAGGGGACGAGCAAAGCCTCTCAGTTCCCATTTGTTTAAGAGTCTCTCAGACTGCTTCTCTCCTGGGAGTCATCTTCCTCCACACCTTCCCTCTCACTGAATTTGCAACTCACGTGAGCGAGGGCTGGCAGAAAAAGGACAGGTTTTCTTTTCTTTGACGAGGCAGACAAAAACCCAATCAACCACAAATTAAAAGCAATGCAACTCCAGCTCGAGTCCTTCAACCAGGCAGAGCGCTCCAGGGCACTTCTGAGCTCCAACACACAGCAGGAACAAGGAGCAGAGACGGGAGCTTCAACTGCAGGCTTGGGGAGTGGGGGAAACTGTTTCTTCCTTGAGCTCCATAATATCTGCTGCTCCCCTGCGAGCTCTTGAGCTCTCTTTGAAATACTGTGGCCAGGAAGCCAGCCACTCGTCAGTGCAATCCATGTGCTGGGCAGTAACAGAGGCAAATGTTATGGTATTCCTGAGAGCTCCTGCTGAGTCACGAGGGGCTGCAGCGTCTTCGTGCACAAACCGTGAAAAAAAACCCCCAACAAGTCCCATAAGCAGGTGAAGAGAGAGAAACGGGTTCGGAAGGTCTGCTGGGTCCAAGGAAGATGGACACACCAAGCAAGTGAGGGATAAAGTCAGTGAGAAAAGCCTGGATGCCCATTAACCTCAGCCTGAAAGCCCAGGGAGCACTTCCCAGTAACCAGCTGCCGAGGAGGTCCAACACCAATGCTTTGCACTTGCCCAGCCTCCTGGAAAAGGGACATCTTTGTTTCCCCCATCCGTCCGCCTGGTTGCTCCAAGGAAAACAAGGCCACACCAGGAGGTTAATTAACACGCCAGGCTCACCCACTGCCCCCATGTCAGAGCCTAGCACAGTACCTGGGACCCAGTGCTCCAGCCCTCTTCCCCAAAGAGGATGCTCACTTTTGTCTGTGCCACTGCAACCATACTAAGCCATGTTTGTACAGAGGTCCCTGCGGAGCCTGCCTGCCGTCCCCCTGGAGAAGGCAGCAGACAGCTGAGAGCCCTACAATTAGCGACAGAAAAGGAGAAGGGGTGTGGAGGGGTGAAGATTAAAATACATTAACTGCATCAAACCCTTGTGTGTTTGCCAGCTCTCACAAAGGCTTTCCGAGACAAATTCTACCAGCAGTTTTTAATAAATGGCATCAAAACCAGCTATTCACTGCCAGTCTCTTTAAAGCCACGCCAAAACCCACATTCAGATCTGATTAAGCATCAAGGAGATCTGCTTTTACTTTAGCACAGGGGAGGGGGAGAGCAAACCTGTTCTGCTGCCATTGCCCAAAACCCACCCCACGTGGCCAGAGGAGCGGCGGGGAGAGACAGACAACCCCGCATTACCCTCTCGCTCATGCGCTGCTGGGAATGGAAGCGTGGCTGCAGAGGTGCCGGGTTCAGCCTTGGAGGAGGTACTGGGCTCAGTGCCGCGGGGGCACAGCCAGGGGCTGACAAGCCACCCCCTCACCCCCCGGCACGAGTCCATCCTCCAGCAGCCAAACTATATAAATCCCAAGGATAAACTCCCAAGTGTTTATGTTTTACCACTTCTCTGGTCTGCAATGCTTGGCAGGCAGCTCCGACTGACTGCCAGTTTCTCCCGAGTTTACTTTTTGAACAAGTTAAAAGGACTGGAAACCACGTTCCTGAACAAGAATGTATGTATATATGCATATGTATACCCACAGACATATACACATATATATATAAAACCCTCTAAGACAAATTACTAGTCATAAACACCGCCTTGAAACGCTTACTTTAGCAGGACCATGGGCCAGACTCGACTCGTGGCTAAGTGGTGTAATGCTGGAGGAACTCATTTAACCAAACAACCTGTTTCAGACAGGTGTTAAGTCTGCAAATACATCAACCGTGATCTGAATCCAGCGCCCCAAGACAGAAAATTTGTCCACATACTTCCCAGGCTGCTCTCAGGCATCCCAAAAGCCATGCTCACCCATCTGCTGCGAGAGCTGGTCCTTGCAACTTGT